ATTTGATACAGTAAAACAATTACTTGGAGGCGGAGAAAAGCGAAAGGAGTAAGGAATGTGTACTTGACGATATGCGAATCCCTGGAGAGCATTCGCAAGAGGGAAATCTCGCGGAGAGTGGTGGGAGGGACACCTTCTTTGTCCTGGGGAAGCTTGGTCTTCTTCAGGGCCACTATCCTCCCGGTCGCCCTCTCTCTGGCTCTGTAAACTTTCCCGTAAGATCCTTCTCCCACTTTCTCAAGCTTCTCGAAAGCCTGCTTCGCCGACGAGCCTAATCCGACAGTTTCCTTGTTCTCCATCTCAGCCTCCCGCTCGCGCGCTTTCAATCTTTTTATTTACAGGAAGATAGTATACTCTTTGTAACATTTCTCTTGAGTGCTTTAGGTAGTTTTTGAAATTTTCAGTCATGTATGTTTTCAATTGGTTTGATAATGATTTGAATCTGATAATGTTTTCAAAGTTTTTTTTAACCTGTTAATGTTTCAAAGTTCTGTTTTGTTTTTTAATCTGATTTATGTGTATTTGATAAGAGTTGAGGTCTGATATGACTTGTTTATATCTGATTTGATTGGATCTATCCAAATAAAAGCATTCTTATAATTCAAAACATATTTGTTTACTCATTCAAATAATCTAGGCCAAAAATTATGATGTAGTTAAATGTAAAATGGACCATAGATAAAAAGTGTGTGCCCGAAACATACTATCGTATAAATTAACAAAAAGATCTTTGGCATAGACAAATTCTATCCATAGCATTTGTTATATAAATTTTGTTTATTATTTACGTCTAAGTATCATAAATGCAATCTTAAGATAAATATTGTAGTCTAAATTTGAAATGTTAGTCAGTTAGTGGTTTGGTGATTGTTATTTGGGAGATAGAGATCTCTCATACATACCCGTAACGACATGCATAATGTTCAGTGGTAATATCCCAAATGTCATCGATATTGTGGCGTCTTACGGTCTTACCCCCAACCTTTTATATCATCTATTGACAACCATTTAAATCACTATTATTTAATTCTTATAGTGTACATACTTTACTAATATGTAGTATTAAATACTTAACTATACGTGCAGTTATGCCCATGCCACCCATGTATAGATGTACAGATATTTACCTGTTTATTCGTTTGTTTATAATTATGAATCTATTCAACTGTGAGTACTCTATAAAAGTACATTTAAGAAATGTATTTCTATATCATCTCTTATATAGAAGCTACTTAACATATATCCCTATTTCTGTATAATATAATAATGTCCTAATAACGAAAGATGGTCCTCATTATGTATTGTGAATGAAGATTATATTGCAAGATCTATTGTGACTCTCTTCACAAGAATACTCCAATCTGTGTAGCCGGATTATGTGCATGCATTGATTTTTCAATACCGCCTCCACAGTCATAATAACACATTAATCTATAAAGTTTCTTATAATGTAATGTTATTAAACATAAATGATGATCTTCTATATTCACTAGTTCAATAATACATTTTCATTTTTGTAACTGAAATTACATACCAAAATGGTGATGTTTATGGTTTCACAATAGTACTTTTTTACCGAGATAAAATATTCTAGCTTTTAAATGTTTACTGGAGTGGAATACTATAGTTCTTTTTTCAATTATTCGGAGTCTTGAGAAAGGTGGAGGAATGGCTTATAAGGATTTACTACTTGATGATATTCGTTCTTTACTGAAGGAAAAGAGTTCTTACGGAATCTCTTATTGTAAACGGTCTGTGAATCATGTGGCTCACGCTTTGGCGAGAGCACATGGTAATATCCCATATCTTAGTGTTAGTTATGAGTTTATTCCGGATTGTATTGTAAGCCCGTTGGCTAATTGTCTTCTTTTAATATAAGACCATTCAAGTAAGGAAAAACATATTCCACATATTAATTCTTATGTGTTTAGTTGTCCACCTCTCTCACCCACGTATGACACCACGCACATTTTTGCGTTGTACGTGCTCTAATTATGAATATACGAGATATATAAAATAATCAAACAAAAGTCAAAAACATGACTTTGTATACTTTAATGGCTTTAATAATAATTTTAGTTTTTTTTAAAAACAATAATAATTTTAGTTATCATGATCGAGTTTATTTTTATACAATAGCAAGAGCATCTCCAAAGCATAAACATGAATAGGTGCATACATGACATAAGAAATATAGACACATAAAAATTAATAAATGAAATATCTTTATTCTTATATGAACGTTCGTAACTATTTTTATAAGTTTTTGTACACAATCATAATAAAAATTACGTTGTCTCAATGTAGATACTATAATTGTTGGGAAAATGTGTGAAAAATTGCATTAAATGGCTATTTTGAGGCAATTTTTTGAGTGGGTTCCACTTCCGATTTGGGTCGGGTCAAAGTGGTTTCGGATTTCCTTGCTTAGGGCTACAATTCGATACATGGTACGCTCAAAACGGATAACGGGTGAATGAGAAATTGTTTTTCGAAGTTTACCCGTTAGAAGGAAAAAGGATGGGTTTCTAGTGTGTTAATTTCCCACACCGGAAAACCCAAGGGATTTGCAACTCTTTATAAAGGGACTCCCCCCTTAAGGAGTTAAGATTCCTAAGGATAAAGGCTCTCTCCACGCGCGCAGGGGGTGCAAATCAAATCTCGAATTCAGAGAAGAAAAACCGCGACTTGCGTGTGCGGGCGACCTGCGGACACGAATGTCGTCCAAAAATCCATCTCTCAAGAGATACGGATAATTTTTGTTTTCTTCCCGAGACGTAAATTTTTTCCCAGTTGACAGAATTGCCTAGCGGCAGAAACGCTCCGAACAGAAGGCCTCGACCAGAACACCTCAGTATGGTGTTCTGGTGGCTTCGGGCAGAAGGCCTCGACAGAAACCCTCCTAGGGTGTTCTGCCGGCTTCAGACAGAAACCCTCCTAGGGGTGTTCTGCCGGGTTCGGACAGAAACCCTCCCAGGGGTGTTCTGTTGGGAGGTCTTCTGGTGGCACTTCTGAACCATCACAGCAATAAATGACCAACGTTCTTATCTTTTAATGCAGCGTTAAATGGACAGTTCATGTACGATTCAATGCCCAACGGACTGGTCATTGATGTCCAACGTTCAGGTCCATTAATTCACCATTTGCACACAACAAATCCTCCTATATAAAGGCTGGCAGGTGGTTTGCAACAACACACGATCTTACACGTTGATACACATTCCTCATGTATTTCTTCAGCTAAAAACCCACCTCCAGTCTCTCTGAAAATTTCCTGAGTGTTCAGTCTTTGTTCTCGTTCGCTGGAACTCTTGTTTGTGTGCTCAAACATTAGTTCGTAGTCATCGTATCCTGGGAAACTATTGTTGCAACGCTCCTAGCACCGTGGGAGGCAGCAAATACGTTTTAAGGGCATCGTGCGTAGCTCGAGCTTTGACTAATTCTGTTTCATCTCCTTTCTTGTTTTTCTCTAGTCATTTTATTTAATTAATTTCTTTTAATTAATTTTCTTTATTTTCCGAAATACACCCAACAATAATTGACATTGTTGGGAAATTTTACCAAAAATAAATAAGGCCGTAGAAAGAAAGTGAGAAATGCCATGGATTTATTTACTTTTAGAAAAAATTGATAAAGAATAATCTCACTTTTGCACCTCATCTTCTTTCATTGGACCCTGAGGCCTGACCTATTGATAACCTACAAAGGTGGGATTATTTATATAAAATTTTCAAAGAAAGTCCAATGAAAGAAGATGGGGTGCAAAGGTGAGATTATTATGGGATTACGTAAAAGTCAGATTATTATAAGAAGACTAATGAAAGGTGGAATTATTCTTATCAATTTTTCCTTACTTTTATCTATTTCACTCATGTCTATGTGTATCGTGCACACGAAACATTGGAGATATTCAATAATATTTAAGGGAAATCATTTAAAAAAAATAGAGAGAGAAAATCAATGGTGGAATAGAGTACATGGAAAGGTAGAGCTATGACGGAATAGATTTTTGCCACCTAATACACTATAATTAGCATTTAATTTTTCAGATACATTAACATTTTTGTTGTATCTTGAATATTAGTAGGACTATAATAAAGAAATACATGCTCCGTCTCTCAAAATTTTGACAAGTTTGACTAGGACAAATAATAACATAGTAATAAATGTATGTATGATTAATACTTGTAAGAAGAGATTAACAATAGGAACAAAAAAATTATTGACTAAACGGGAAAGTGATAAAACTTTTGTGAAATTCAAAAAAGAAAATATGACAAAAATACAAAATTATGCGAGGGAGTAATTCATACGAGACCGGGCAATTTATCCCCAATAGATCTATCAATTAAATAAATAAAAGGATAAATGAAAGTTTTCTACAGTATAATCTTGGGATATTTTGTCTTTGTAGCCTGTTTTTTGAATGGTATTAGACTTTACAGTTTGCACTATATTTTAAGAAAACTTAAACTTTGCACCATATTTCCCCTAAAAATCTTTGACTTTGTAACCCATTAAGAAAATTTTCTTCACAAAATGTTATACTATAGGGTGCAAAATTTAGGTTTTTAAAATGGGGTGCAAAGTTTCATATCACCCAAAAATCGCCCAGAAATTGAGATGCAAAGTCAAACTTCCCCTATAACTTTTTACAAATGATATGTTAACAACATGATCATATCTTATTTGTTTCAAAAATGTAAATTTATGGAGTTACAAATATAATTTAGAATAAACAAATCATTTATGAGGATGTAATAACATTAAATTGAATCGGTTATAGGCATATGGTACTATCTATTTCACAAATGGAACTTTAAAATGTTTACTATAACAGTATAACCTAACAAAAGTTTGGAGTTTTTTAAATTATGTATCACAATAAATTTATACTACGTACTTCATATTTAAGAAAGAAAAAACATGTAGTTACTGTGCACAAATATGTTTTTATATAAAGTTCAGAGTATAAATACTATATATGCAAATTTATGATACTTAACTCACACTCCTTTAAATTCCTTTAGAATTTGGAGAGCAATATTATTTTCCCTCATATGACACACAGCTCCTAGTTCCTATAGATTATAGAACATCCATTAGCTTGTTTACTCGGACAGTAAACTTAGAGGAAGAGAAACCAAATGGCTTGACAAGTAACTTCCTCACAGTTCGTAATGCAATGTCTGGTGAAAAGATTCCCAGTATAAACTGAACGACTGAAGAGGCCAGTTTATAACAAACAAATGTTCATATTACATACACTGAAATGGTAAAAGAAATCCTATTAAATATACTATACATTGTTTCAAAATCGAAACTCAATAATCTGCTCTCCGACTATTGACTAGGTTCCTAACAAATTCATCTTCCTCACACACATCTTTTTCCCATAGTTCCAGGAAATGTCTGTAAGACTCATCATAGGCAACTGCTTTGCGCAAACAATTGATGGCTTCAAGTTTGCATCCCTCATTGTACAAAACACTGCAATTCATGCTTACTTATTTACGACTTCACTCGGTCCAAAATTTCAACCAAGCTGTTTACCAACTTAGTTCCTTTTTAAAATAGCATTAGAAACATAAGTCGTTTTTAGGGGCATATGGGAAGTTTTTTTTCGAAAGGAGGGGCATATGGGCAGCAGTTCTATACATTTGGAATTTGACATTTGCCGCACCTCACCAGTCCAGTCTTGTTTGGAGGGAGTCCAACATGAACCGGTTTGGGATGGTTTCCGAAACTGCAAACCCATCTGGTTTTGTGGGAGGGGCAGTCCTGGTTTAGTCTGAAGAACCAGATCCACCCCTAACATCACCCCAATATGAGCTTAATCTTTATTTATGAGAGTGACTTTTAGGAGTCTGTAAATAAAAGAAAACAGAGTTATTGGTGTCGGCAATACCTTGAGAATACAACCAAAGCTTCATAGTAATTAGCTTTTGTGTTTGAATCTTTTGGCTCCTTCATCTTTGTTATCCTGTGCAGATGTACGATACTCTCATCGAATTTTCCCTGCATAGAGAAAGGCAATCAGCTTTTAAAAGTAAGACATTGCTTGAAATTCACTGTCTCTCTGAATACAAGAAAAATCTATTTAACATTGAACAGATGGAATATTGTAGCTGAGTGATATTCTGTGAAAGGATGAACTCCCTTTTTACTATCCACACTTCTACATATGAAGATATACACAAATATAGTAGCAGCACAAAAGGTTTTCCAAACTTTGAAATTTTAATTGACCAAGTGATGGCAATCGCCTTTTAATTTATCCAATACTATCTACAAGTTATCCATCAAAATCCCAAATATTGTCATATACTACCTCCGTCCTAAATTGATATGCAAAATTGACTTTTCTTGGTCAAAATGTTTCATTTTATTCAGTTAATTAGGATGTCAATCTATAATTATACTCTAATTTAAAGTTTGCAACTTTGAAAAGTTTTTAATGTAGTTTCTGAATATGTTAATTTTAATTGTTAATTATTAATAAGTAAATCATTTTTTGGTTGACCAAAAAATGTTGACTTTGTAAATCATTTTGGTATGGAGGGAGTAGTAAATAGTAAATTCATTTTTGACCGATCGAATGCAAGATGGTGATTTTAAATAATATAGTGCACCGAGATCAAGGATTGTAAGGATTCAAGATTAATGTAGATGGTGCACTAGACCCAAATAGCTTCACATGTGGGCTTGGCATGGTTGCTCGAGATGAGTTCATATCTTTTGTGGCAGGGATGAGACGACAGTGTAGGGGCAATTTTGCAGCAAGCTCTACTGAACTGATAGCCATAAGGGAAGTGACACAATGGGGCATGGGCTAAGGAAAATGGTTGGCAAAATGTAATCATTGAATCAGATGCTCAAAAGGCTCTGCATGGTGTAAATTGCCCAGGTGGATGCTCCTATGATGCGGCTTTGTCAGATGATATTAGGGACATGATGGCGTCTATAGCTAATATTTTTATCCAATATGTGCGACGATCAGCGAATAAGGTTGCTCGTGCATTATTGAGGGATAATTATAAATGAAAATTATGTAGTTTTTTTCGGGGGGGGGGGGGGGGGGGCTGTCAACTGTGCCCCTATTGTAGTATATCAAGAATGTCAATTAAGTCCTCGTACTATAGAATCACCCAATCAAACTCGTAAGTCCTAAACTATAAAAAAAACTCGATTCGACTTTCTAGCTACTCACCAACAAGTTAGTCGGTTACTTTGCTGACGTGGAGGTTGACATGGCCTAAATTCTTCCATGCTAGCCGTTCACCATCAACCTTCACTCCCCACACTCTTACCCGGTTGGTCACCTACTAAAGCTGAATTGGGTGTTTTTATAGTTCAGGGGTTTGATTGGGTGATTTTGTAGCACGAGGACTTAATTGACATTTTTCATATACTACGGGGCCTATTTCATAGTTTTCCCGACTCAAATCATCATTACCATTACCCCAGTGCCGCAAAGGCTCCCACCTACGGTGGGGTAAGGGGGAGTCGGATGTACACAGTCTTACCCCTTTACTAAAGCACAGGGAGACTGTTTCCGAATGAACCATAATGAAAATCGCGTCGAAAATTGCATAGATTGACTGCTACTTCATAACAAAAAAGCGCAGACAGTTTAGTGAGCCATTTTGCTTTATTTTGGAATAAAAATGGTAAATGACAAGTAAAAATGGATATTATTTTGGAATTGACAAATGAAAAATAGTAAATACAAAATTAAAAATGATTAATACGGTCTTTAAATAACCTTACCAAATTGAAACCATATTTTTATTTCAACAAAGAAGTCAAAGTCAAGTTGAGATTTTGCCATTTACCTGCCGTGCATAAGCTACACCTGCCCATTCAGATGATAGGATCAAAAGATTAACATCCTCAACTCCTGTTGGAGGCCCATTACGGAGCAGCTAGATACATTTTGCAAAAATTGAATAATTTGGTCAGAATAGGCATGCATGTTTAGCCACACTAAGTGAAACCTGAAGAACTATACCGGAAACAGGAAAAGACACCCTTAATTTCAAACCTTAGATATAGCGTGCTCCAAGTATTCAATAGCTTCTGTAAAGTAGCCATAATGCAATAGTGCCTGCCCCAGAACAGCCATAGCTCTAATGTGCTCGGGATCCTTGTTAAGAGCAAGTCTGATTTATGTTTACACATGCATTCAGGCACCAAAAAAACATAAACAAAAACAAAAATATTCAGAAGTATAAATTACCGCAGAAGTGGGAGAGCCACATCTTTCTGATCCTTTGCTAAGAATTTGCTAGAAAGCTGTATAAATTCCATATCTTTTAATTCCGATATTTATTTAAAAAACCATATTCCATACTACGTAGCACATAGATGGTGACTTACTTGAACCATTTCTGAAGGAGATGGGTTCTCAGAAAGTATCTCACGCAAATCGCTCGGCACATATATTTCCATTATCTCAGATTTACCTTTCCGTTCTGTGGCTAATGCAGAAGCATCCTGACCAGGTAGCCCCAATTTCTTGCAAACATCTGGATGGCTTAAAGCTATTTGCTTTACATCACATCATAAAGAGTTAAAATGTAACTAAGTTACCAATATGTGAAACAATAATACACATAGTAGCTCCTGGTTGAGCAGTTCAAAGCCCAAAAAAGGACTGTGGAAGTATGTTGACAGCCATTTATAAAGCCATCTAAAAATGAGCAGGATTTACTCAGCACAGGTGTATGACTATTAGATGGTAGTAGATGCCCTTATAAGATACAACTCATAGAAAGACATACAGACAGTTCAGTACATGTCCAAACTTACACACATAGATATTGTTATTAAAGGCAGGTTGATGCAGAAGTTTCAAACTCAGTAATGTAAAGATAACTATTTATAGAAATAACATCCATATATGCATATAATTGATATTTAACTGGATCAGGACTGTTTAGTAAATTAATACATCATGCACCAAGCACTAAAATGTGAGGTGTAACAATGCTCTCTAGATACTATTTATACGCAATATTGGCAATTTTTAGAAAATACAATGAAAATTAACTCAGTTTCAGTAAACTGGACTCTTTCTCTGGGACAAAAAAGGCTTCAAACAGGATTGCTTTTTTGGAATGTAGTGAGCATATGAAAATTGAGGATGAGTACAGCATCATAGATAAAAATTATTAGGTTCAAGTTTTAAAGTTTGCAGAGAAGTTTGAATTTTGTGTGACTTTCTATGTTATCCGGAGATGAGAAATACCTGAAGAAGACTCAATGAGCTATTTGTAACCCAACATATTAAGCTCCCCTGCAAAAGATAGAGAAAATGTAAAAGCTCTTATATGTCCATTAGAAAAAACTTAAGAGTATTATTCAAAAGAATTATATACAATTTGCAGAGAAAATCTGTCTCGTTATTATGTTTTATTCCTATCGAGGCACTCTAGAATTTTATATACAATCAGTATATCAATTCAAGTATAAATGCATTAAGATCAAATATAATTACTATGTCTGCCTGGCTTAGTCTGTATAACAGAAGAGTGCATTGTCTCATCAATTTTACATAACTTTCAAATTACTTCCCTGCATGGTTGCATGGCTGCAAATGACGATTCCTGAGAATTGTCTCCTTAGGAAAATAAAAATTAAATACTTGGACGCTAACTAAAGCTCATTTTTGTAGGGCCGGACATGATCCATGTTATTGTGAAAGGTGCATGCACCTCTTGAATATGACACACAACTAAATGACGAATATGGATAAGCCTCATAAGTCATAATCCAATGCAAATTCACCTTCTCTAAGGGATAAGCCTCTCAAATAAGAAGTTGTTATTGTTGTATTTCCTTTCTCTTCTAGTTGTGTTACTCGCCAAATGTTTAGGCCTAAAACACGTGGTAGATTTAGATGGCATTGATCATTGATGTGACATATTTTCCTCTTCTAGTTTAATATTGGGGGAATTTGACTTTGCACCCCATTTTCAAAAAACTTTGATTTTGCACCCCATTTAGAAATTTTTCTTCACAAAATGTTGTTGTTGGGGTGCAAAATCAAAGTTTTTTCAAAATGGGGTGCAAAGTCCAATATCACCCAAAAAAAAGTGGGGTGCAAAGTCAAATTCCCCCTTTAATATTTGGGTTCATCAGCTCCACAAGCCCCACTAACAAGACCCCGTTGTCAAACCTACCCTTCAAAGACCAACTTTATCATTCTTCCCACCAACTTTTATTACTATCATCAATTTAAGTTAAAAAGGGGACAATCAGATCGCATGCATTATATCAGTAATTCAGAGCACAGTTGCATTTCACGAAACCATATCATTCAACTTTTTGATAGAGATGTCCAGATTACAGAAAGATATCAAGAAATCAAAGTGAACTTGATTAGAGAAGATGAAAAAGAACAGTAATCGTAACAAGAAACTGGCCGAAGCCTCCAATGAGCCGAAGCCCCCCAAAAGAAAGAGATTAGCTCTCGATCTTCCCAAGTCCCAAATGACAAAGTCTAAAACAGCCTCCTCAACTCCTCCCAGCTCTCTTCTATTTATACTAACTAATACACTTATTGGTTTATACTCTAATAGGCCCGGTCCTTTATTATTATTATTAGTCTATTAGGCCCGGGTTCCTATCAATACTCCCCCCCTAAACATCCACCTTGCCCTCAAGGTGGGTGATAGGACACCGCCACAATCTTCTTCTTTTCTTTCATCCTAGCACCTCTCCCTTTCCAATACTGGATGGATTTCTGGATTCTTAGCTCGGCTGCTTCCATCTTCTTCCCTATGCCTTTCAAAACAGATTTACACCGCTGCCAGGACATTTTGTCCAGAAATTTGACTCTTTCCAAGTTCTTGGTGGTTAGGGCCCAGCCATCTGCAACACCGAGTACATCAACTTCCTGCTCTTGAACATTTCCTTCTGAAATATCAATATATAACCCATGAGATTTCAGTAATTTTCCTTCTCCTTTAGTATTTATCATCCCCTTCATCTTCTTGTCAGTTTTCAGTTCTCTTAATAAGGGATCTCCATGTATATTTGCCTTCTGCCCATGTACCTCCCATTGGATGGTCTGATTCTGAAAGTTAACTGCCATATCTCCTAGGCCAGCTAACCAATCCATTCCCAGCATGACATCAACTCCACCCAATTGCAGAATGTAGAATTTCTGCAGAATTTCATTTCCTTGTACATCCACTGTCAACTCATCACACCTACCATAGTTGGAAAGGAATTTCCCATTCCCTAGCTGCACTTTATTCCCTTTAATGTAATTAAAAGGTATCTTCCATTCCTCAACAATCTTCTGTGAAATGAAATTGTGAGTAGCTCCACAATCAATCAAGATATTCACTTTCTTTTCCTCAGTCATCCATTTCAGATTTCCCAGGACATTGAATGTTCTCATGGGTGGTGTTTCTCCTTCGTCCAATACAGATAATTGCATAGTCTTAGCTTCCATATGTATTCCTTCTTCTTCTTCTTTATCTTTACTATAATCAGTATCAGATTCCTCCTCACTTACAGATTTTTCTACCAGCATCATTTTAAAATTCTTCATTCTACAAATGTGACCCCGGTTCCAGTTTTCACCACATTTAAAACATAATCCTCTTCTACTTCTTTCTTGCAGCTCATTCTGTGATAATCTGGGGTTTGTAGTCTGCTGAAGTGCTGAACTGAGTTTGAAGATTCCTCCTTCTTCATATCATCAACTGAATAGTTGCCAGATGGATTCTTGGTTGTGTAGCTATGACTTGCATATATAAGTTTATTTCCATGGCGCAGAGGCCATATGTGTGCCTCATGGCGCATGGCTACAACTGAAGGTCTGAAACAAACTTAATTGTAGTAGCCAGAGTTTTTGACCCAAGAAAGAGGAGTATCAACAATTCAATACAACTTTTTTAGAAGGGATAAAAATAATCCAATTCAAAAAGCGGGAGCTTGCACAGTTGCATGCAAGTCCATCACAAATGAGAGAGAGTGTCTTGATACTTCTCTGTAGCACTGGCACAACGAGACAATATGAAGAAATCAAATAGTCTAATGTTCCTTCTCAAAATAGCACTAATATGTTTGGTATTAGCTTCACCATCTTTTTTTGTGATACTTGCCACATAAAGTTGCCCCTGCCCTTAAGAACCTTGTTCCATTATTCAAATCCGACAACTCAACTACCATTGAGGTGTGACGGCACTAAAGTCGCTTGTGCCTCAAAATAAATTCATTACTAAAGTTAATGCCGTAGTATAGCGTAGTGGAGCTCGTATCCACAAGGGAAAAGTGCTTTTAACGTGTGTGTAAACGTAAGAAAACTAAATAAAAGGCAAGGGGGTTTGAATATTGTGATTGTTGAGAAAGCAAATAAAACACTAAGATGAATGAATTAAAGTACAAAGGTAAACAACATTGGTTTTGCTATTTTCCTCTTAGTGAAGTGCTCGTTTATCACGGTTACTACTTACACTCTCCCCTTTTGAATACTTAATTGTGGAGATTAGATCGTCTATTTCATCAAGGGTAGTTATTGATAAGGAGATGTGTTCCTTAATAACCCTTACAATTAATTAGTCAATATAAAACAAGCGTCATGTATTGATCTTAATAGTAGTTTCCGGTCGATTTAATGAAAACAATTAAGAGCGATAACTCGTAACCCAGGGCGAGTATTCTCAGGTCCAGTTATTGTATCTAATTCATCCATTGGTCATCTAATGAAATTAATTAAGTTTGATAACCTCAACATAAGCAACTTTTTTATTTAACCAATATAACTACTTCATCTTAGATTATTAACCATGAGATGCATGCATTAGTAATCTAATAAATAGCACTAATAAATAGCACATATCAAGGTGCTTGGGGAGGGGGCAATGGAGGATCAAGAGAGCCTATGTATACATACCTGGGGAATATAGAATGCAATGAACATTGTTGGTAGTGTCATAATTTCCAGATAAAACTTGTAGAACTGCATCAAGGCATACATTGATACATTTATCGGCATGTCACACAAACATCACCATGAAATATACCACTCTCTCTATTATATATGACCATAATGACACACACACCGACACACGCGCAAATATATGTGTGTGTGTAATTGTGTATGTCTTATATTATTATATATACACACACACACATATACACACGGTCAACAGTCACATAGATACATACATACATACAGTCATACATACATACACACGCGCGCATATATGCATACATGTGTGTGTGAATATATATATATATATATATATATACACACACACACATTATATGTGTGTGTATATATGTGCAACCAATGGGAGCCTGGCACCAAAGCAGGGATTTCGAAATAGAGGCTTAAAAGAGCTCTAATTTAAAAGCTACCTTTAATCAATGTAAGATGCATTTATATCTTTCCACACATATTAGCTTCTCAGCTAGCTTCTCAGCTCAGTGTGGCAGCTTGGCTATATAAGCAATGTCAATGTACTCTGGTTTATATGCACATGGAATTTAGCCCTAGGATTGTGAAACCAACTTCTCCACATTGCTTTAGTTGCCCATGTTACATTTTGTGCCTATATGGCTATTTAAGGCATGGCAATGTACACTCCAATATATCAATCAATATAAAAACAACATTCCCATTCTCTATAACAAATATGAATTCTACGCACGGATGGCTAACTTTCAGTAACAATGAACTCAACTTTAATTTAATAAACTAGACTTCCAAAAGTTTGACAAATAACTAGCATCCATTATAGTAATATTGCACTGCTCATTTTAATCCGAGAAAATAACTAGAAATATGTAACAAGCAAACATAACTAATTGCTATAGTATTCACAACAGCAAATCAAGTTTAGACCTTGGCAAATTCGCTCATGGTCCCGCTGGACACATTCTGAAAAGAAACCTGAAAAGGTAGATCCATTTGACATGTAAAAATATATTCAACCAAGGGTAACCACCAAACTAGCACAAAAAACAAAGAGAAAGAAAACGTCTAGCGCAACTAAAAGTAAAACAAATCAGCTTTGTCAAAATTTGCTAGGTTATATTTTGACTGCTGAACAAGTTAAACCACCCAATCTAGGGGGTATACTCCAAATCATCATCATTACCCCAGTGCCGCAAAGGCTCCCACAACTTCGGTGGGGTAAGGGGGTCGGATGTACGCAGTCTTACCCCTGTACTAAAGCACAGAGAGATTGTTTCCAAATGACCCAAAGTGAAAATCGCGTCGAAAATTGCATGGATTGATTGCTGGTTCATAACAGGCCTTCTGAATGTTGATACCAGTATTTTACTTTATAAATATTTTTAGGGAAATACTTTAAAACAGAAGTACCTTAATGTTAGTATAATACAAGCCAGCAACCAGCAAAGGGAATATGAGGCCTAAAGTACCATTTGGAAGTTCTGTCAAATTCTGAAACCATAGAGTTCCCCCCTGCACCAATTTGAAAAGGGAAGAAAACATTAACATTACCTATCAGAAAATATAAAAAATTCTATTTGACATATAACTAAAAGAAGCTAGACGGCAACCTAGATCATAATAAATAATAACGGCAAATCAGCAACACCAACAGCAAAAATAGTAATGAGAACAATGGTAGTTCACCTTTGAAAACCCACTGCCAAGGTTGCATATTGAGCCATAATTTGTTCTTGACAAAACGATATTGAAACATTAAACTTTTAATCTCTTATGGAGTATAGACCCAAGGTTGCATGCCAAAGCAGACACAATTATCTTCCCCATGTCTAATAGGAGGCACAAAACAATGTGTAAACACCTAATGGCTACTTCAATTAATGTGGGCTTTACAAATGAAAAGGCTGACCTGGTTAAGATCTTTTGACGTTTGTTATACAGGTCAAACCTTTAAGAGAATTTGGTAAATGGAGTAAAATCTGTCACAAGAAAGATAACTGAATTGCTTAATTTTTACAGACCTTGTGAATTTTCATTACAACTTGAAATTATCATTCCCAGAAATGGCCAAATTCAGACCTTAATGTAGGCATTACAAATACAACAATTCAGACCAACTCGAGCAATATATCTATGCATAAGGTCCTTACACTATCAAAGCCATCATGACAATCAAGTGACATTCTTCTTATAGTTGTGAGCCATAGCAGAAAATAGGGGACCTGCCAAATGAAAAAGATCATAAACTCTTTGACTGAATATGTAGACACACACATGCTAAATGAAATTTTAATTAATTGACATGTTTGAATACAAATTGCTATTTTATTTTAATTAACATGTGTGCATACAAATTGTAAATACATTAATTGACACGCACACAAATATGATTTGGCACACACACAAATATTAAAATACATCATTGCATATGTCTAACACTTAAGTGAGAAGAAAATCATGTGGTAAAATATTTCAGGAAACTGCAGTTTTAACAGTTTGCACCCAACAAACAAGATCCAGTCAGAAACAATATACAGTTTGACTTAAATTTATATTGTGTTTCTAGCATGCTTGATAAAAAAGTAAACGGTTAAAAGAACTAATGCAACTAAAAAAGAATGGAAGGATATGATGTAACTAGATCTCTTCAACTCGGTACATAATATACACCTATATAATGATGCTATATGCAGTAGAGACTAGAGAATACGGATAGAATTTGTCTATCCTTTGGACCGACTTCAGCTTGATTAAAGCATACACTCCACATGATTTTGCTTTCCATTATAACCATTTGCATTTAAGTAGGTAGGTCTTAAAAGCATTAATGAATCATCGCAACACATGGGGGATTTTCCCAACTAGGGCTACTCTGCATAATATCATACCCCAACCGTGAACAAAAATAAATTGCAAACTAATCCTGCATTGAAGGTTAAAACACATTTCTCTTCCTTACTGCATTTGTTTATTTTCATTTTGAGAGAGTAAGACATAAGAGGTGTATCACACACCCTGTCAATTTGAACAGATTTAGTTAATCAGAAAATTAATGGCATCGCTCATATCTCCTTACAGCAATATAGCAACTATAATTGCAAGGTATTTTAATTTCACAATATTTGATAATTTGAGTAAGTATGTTGCAGTAGAAACAACAGTTTCAAAGCTTTTGCTTTTAAGGTAGTTTTCTGTTTTTTAGTTGCTGAAGTGAACAAATAAACACATACAACAACAACAACATCCAAGCCTTATTCTCAAAAGATTTTGGGGTCGGCTAACATGAATCGATCCATGATATCATATTTCGATTCATGTCATGTGATGTGACCAAGTGATATTCACGCGCCTACCACACCACCCTCCTCTTTATCCTGGCTTGGGACAAGCATGACACCAAAATGATCCTATGGCAGAGTTTGAATAAATAAACACATATACACACAAAATGAAAAATACATTAGAAACTAAATCAACTACTATGTATGACTTGAGAGAGTGAGTGCAATATTCTATTATGTTAGGCATACAATAGTTAAGAAAAATCTTACCTGGATAATAGCTGCAATGAACCATACAAATGAAGGGCATCCAGCTGTTCGTTTCTCTCGCATGAAGAATTTTAATTGGTCTTTGAAACTCCTCCTTAACTTGTTCGGTGGAATTGGAGGGGGCACTTGAGGAGAGGGAAAAAAAAAATGTTAAACACATGCGTTACTTTCATATCTTTACAATAATGTCAATAAGTGAAGAAACGATAAAAAGTAACCCCTCCCATTTTATAGGCCCAACTGGTTTTTGGACATTTATTAAGAAAACAAATGATATGTGGTTGGTTTTGCTGTTTTATCTTTAAAAGGTGGGTACTGGGTAGCTTTTGTAAAAAGTTGTGACAATGGGTTAGTATGGTAAACCAATAAAGGGCAAGTTGAGCAAGGGGGGGAGGGGAGGGGGGAATTAGGGGAGCTCAAAACAAGAAAGTGAGCATAGTTGTGGGACAATCAAGAAAATAAAGCGGGACTTAACATGACTAAGAGATTCATCATCATCATGATCACTACCCCAATGCCGCAAAGGCTTCCACCAACTGTGGGGTAAGAGAGGGTCGGATGTACGCAGCCTTACCCCGTACTAAAGCACAGAGAGACGGTTTCTTCCGAATGACCCATAATGAAAATCATGTAGAAAATTACATGGGACTAAGAGATTAATAGTTAAAAATTGCAAGCTTTTCAACCAATTGCATTTCTTGTCTTCCCCTGAGCAATAAGATCAAACAAGGTGTTCTAAATAATTAATATTAATATAAATACAAAGCCTCACGTTTTGGTAATATCTCTCCAATTGTCCGTATCTTGTGTATTAGCAGTATTATAAATGGAAATATTGCAAGTCGCATTGCCAATGTCCCAGAAGCTATAATAATCCACCTACAAAATCAAAGGGTTGCATATAGATAATTGCAATTTCAAAGTGGCTCAAAGTAAAGTACTAAGCCAGAGAAAATACTGAAAAAATGAGTACAGCTTGAATCGCGAGGAAGTGATGGAAACACAAATAGTCAAAACTCAAAACTCAATTACAAAATAACAAAAGCAAAACTGAAAAGACGATAATTCAAGAATTGGCCATCTTTTCACTCACCATGGGAACCCCGTGATATTGTGGTAGCCGTCCAGCAACGAAATTAAACCACCAATTGGAAGAAACATGTCTTCAAAACTTCTGGTATCAAGTGCGCCGCCGCCAATAAACATATCAGACCCCTTAAAGGGTTGGGGAGCCGGAAAATTCCCATCTTTCAGCGGATGATCTGCGATTGAGGAGGGCTCGCGAGTTGAGAACGAACGAGCGAAGAAATTGAATCGGAAAGGCGCTAGAAACTGCTTATCAGTGGCAAAAGAAGATGGCAGTACCGATGAGTGGTGAGAACGGTGCAGCTTTCGCCGGTGATCGGAACTAAAATTTTGAGTGAAGGAGTAAGAAAAGTTGTATGAGGGTGGAAATGACTGAAAGCGGGTGAAAAATTGCCTTCGAAGGAGTATCCGCATTGCCATTTCTGAAAAATCAGTTTCTTCAAGTTTTCGTAATGTCAGCGAGGTTGTCTAATCTTTATATATATAAATGAAGATCGTCTATCAATGAACTGTTCCCGCCTAGAACGGCTTCTGCCACATCATCATGTTTTGCCTGTACATACCATTGCTTATTATTATCTTTACAAAATAAATAAATAGTTTAAATCCTGTGAGACACGCATGGCACATAGCAGTTTTTTAAAGCGGTTGCATCCTTGACAGTTCTGGAAATAATCTCCACGTTCCAGCCCACCCACTATGACACAACTCCATCATCCTGTATTAATAAATAACACCCACTTCAGACTCAAACGACAATTGCAATTTCTTTCAAAAGTGTGGGAGTACTTTTCGATACAAGTTTATATTTATCAATTTCACTTCCAACATTAATTTGCTTCAATTTTGTTTCAGAGTTGCCGCTACATCAGGAGACCAAGTTGTCCAACAAAATCTATGACCTCAACTCATCAAAACCAAACTGGCCAAAAGAGAGTGAGGCTAATCCGTTTTTATGTTCTACCAGCATACAACAACAAGGCTATTACAAACTGAATGGAATGAATTTACCAAGATGATGAGGTACAATTTGATACTATATAGAATCATCCTTATTTTGAACTTTACATGCCAATACACCTAATTATTTTGAAACTCTAATTACTACGGATGTCAAAACTAATTCGTTAATTATGGATGTCACTGGAAGCATAAGATCCATGAGACATCCATACCCCCACCCCAGTCCACGAGAATTAAAAGGGGACTGCCAAATCTCATCAAGATTGTTCTTGAAGATGTGAGGTACGTTTGTGTTCGGCTGAAGGGCTGTCAAGGATGATAATGTTGCAAAAGGAACTCCTAAAAGAAGCAAAGAAAGCGTGCAGGTGAAGATTGAAAAGTTCTGAAGCCGTGAAGATTAACCCTCTAGGATATTTAGCCCACTTCTATTTATAACTAGACTATTTTCTATACATGATTTCCCTAAATTGTGTTTTGCAACAGTAACGCTGTTTACCCTTATTTAAGTTTCTGGCTATTCCTATATTACGATTTCTCTAAATTGTGTGTACAACACAATCTCTGTCATGTCTTATGTAGTATTTCACGCTTAAAGTAATAGGTATAAATTGATTTTGGTATTTCGCGCTTAAAGTTTCATGTGTATGACTTTCTTAGTATTTACCCTTAAACTTTATTATTCATATGCACCAAGAGTGAGCACTTCAGAAAAAGAATTCTATAATGAGTGATGATAAATATATACTTATTAATATGAAGATTAAGTTAAAAACATTAATAAAACTAGCAGTTCATTAAAAGATATTTTCAGCCTTTGGTACTATTAAAGGTGAAAAGTAAGTTAGGTATATTGAAATAATTATAAATTGAGGTGAAGAGGATCGTACCTGAATTTTTAGCTGATCAAACAAAGCGCCCTGCATTCCCTTCTAACCTAATTAAAATTACATTTGACTTATAAATATTACATCTGACTTGTGAATATAACACAACAGGGCACCATAGAATGAATAAAAGACTCACCAAATGCTAAAAAAAGTATTGTTATTAGCTAATGATCCATGGATCCAATATATTTTTTAGCTCATGCATCCATGGATATATTTTTAGCTAATAATGCTTCTATTTATTTTAGCTCATTTTAGCAAATATAGGGCTAAAAGTCTCGCCAAATGCTAAAAAGTATTGTGATTAATATAGAAGATTTATAAAACAACAGCATGTATATGAATTAGATGCAAAACCAGATCTGAAAAGTTAATACAAAAAATATTGGTTATTTCTTATTTGATATGGAGTATTAGACTTTTTTTTAAATATGGAGTAAAAGACTTAATTCATCCCGGAGGGTGAATGAACATTCAGAGCATCTAACATCCTCGCCCATGGACTCATGAGCTGTAAAGACATAAATCGGTTCGCAAGGATTAAAATATTTTCAGTATAAATTTGTAGTGAGAACAATCAACAATCATGTGAAAAGAGCTACTCTCAACTTCTCAAGAAGAATCTGAATGTGCTTTTGAGGCTTAACCCGTATGCTAAGACTGCCATGAGGATGGCCCTTTTGGCCAAATGTGAAAATTCGTTTTTTAGTTTCTTCTATACATGTACGGAGTATATCATATCACACACACACACACAAATCGGATTGTAGAAGAACGAAATAGATCTCATGTAAATTTTTAGACAAAAAGATTACCAATTCTGCATATGAGTGGCGAAATCATTCCCTCTTCACATCTTCTTCCGCTACCTAAGACAAGGGAGACGGTGAAAGAAAGAAGAGTTCGGTGAATGAATCTGAAGAATTCTGGAGCGTGTGAGTAGGGGATAACTTCCGATAGTTGACTTCAGAATCTCGTTGGGGTGGTGTGTAGTTGAAAGTGCAAAGTAGGTATGAAATAAGAATGGTAAAAATTGTGTAGTTGAAATTTGTGTAGATGAGAGAAATGTGCAGAACCACAAATTAGTTGCTTTAATTAGAAAGAGGTAAAGTTTTTTGGGACAACCAAAAAGAGAAATTTGGCAAAGTCCAATGAGACAGAGGGAGTATTACTTTTACCTTTTAGCTTTCTTATTCTCTTTTATCTTTCTTGTGTTCTTATAGTATTGTTAACTTGTATTTATTTATCTTTATTTTATTAGTTTTATCCCTTTTTTTCGTGTTTGTCTTTCCTTTTTGACATCGATATCATGGATCGATTCATGTTAGTCAACCCCGAAATCTTTTGAGACTAAGACTTGGATGCTGTTGTTGTTGGTGTATGCACTATGTGCGACTTGTGCCCAAATGTAGAAAAAAAAAATTACTGGGAAAGGATTAGTAATTACACAAGTTTAATTAATTGATTTATATAAATATGGAACATTGCTTTCTTGCATAGAATGTGCAGATTAAAGAGTAATATGATATTTTGTTCGAGGATAATATGTTATTCAAGAATCTGTAGGAAAAATAAATGCTATATTATACCATTATTGTTGATATTAGGCAATAGGCAGGACTTACCATTGTGTATTGCTTATAAAAATATCCATTTTATATATGTTAACAACATATTTATATAGCATTTCCTTTGGTGTGATTGTAATCAAGATTAATCAATACATGATCTATGAAGACAACACACTTAGGACAAGTTTACTTCACAGGTTACTAAACAGTGCTTATTAAGACTCGTGTTAATAAGCGGCGCATAAAATAAGCAGTATTGTAAGATCATGTTACTTCAAAGGATTTAAAATGTCCAAAATAACCATATACATATATAGACACACAAACATTCATGAACACAACTATATAATATAATATGTGAGGGTCACCTCATACGCGTACCCACACCTTAACCCCTACCCTACACCCTCAATTCCACACCCTTGACCCCTAGGGGGTAAAGGGGTAAAGTCGGGGTACGGAAAGGGTACTGGTTGGGGGTTGGGGTGGGGGTATGATCAGGGGTAGGGTAGGGGTATGGGTTGGGTTGGGGTGGGGTCGAGGTAGGGGTATATGGATAGGGTCAGGGTAAGGGGTGATGAGGGGGTAAGGGGGTGGGGGTGGGGTCAAGGAAGGTGGTAGGAGTTAAAGGGGTAGGGTACAAGGGTATGACTTTGGGGTGGGTGTGGGGTATGGTCAGGGGTAGGGTAGGGTAGGATAAAGGTAAAGTAGGATGGGTAAGAATGTGGTCTGGGTCGGAGTAGGGTTAGGGTAAGGTAGAGCGGGTTGGGTAGAGGGGTAGTTAGTAGATGGAGTAACAATGAGGTAAGGGTAAGGGTAAATTCGCGAACTGAAAAAATTTAAAGTGCCGTTTAATTAATATGTGTGGGTGGTATGCTTAGAGAATCTCCAATAAGGATATGAATTGCACCCCCTAAAAAATGGACATGTCATCAATTTAAACAGCCCGTGCAGCTTAAGTGGATACATAGTCATTGTGAATAAAGTTTCCGCTCCAACCCAATTGTGAATCTAAATAATTGGTCCTACTTGTCTATACCTAAAAAAGAGGCGCAAGGGCTGTTTTATGTAACTGCTTTTCAAACCTTCTTCCTCATTGAGAATAGCCGCGGCTTCCAGGTATGTACACATATTGTTTTTTTGTTTCTCACCCCCCCCCCCACACACACACATATATATATATATATATGAAGCTTACACTTAAATTAGAGGGGAAGCATAGATATGTCATGCAATCGTTTCATCTTCTCAATTTTGCTTATTTACAATTTGTTTTTCATAAATATTCCATCTTAGAGGGGGGAAAACCTTATAACACATGCGTACTCAAATTGTGATATTTGAGGTTGATGTCAAGGATGTAGTTTAATGGTAGGTGGAGTGCCGAGTGCGTCAAGCTCAAATCCTGGTAACCATCGGTGTTTGTAAGTTTTAAGTGGAGCATTATGATTAAAGTTAATTTATTTCTCCTGTTTTTGTATGTGGTTTACAAATCTACATAATTTCTTTGTCATTTTGTTTTTTAAGAGAATCACTTTGAACTGAAACTCTATGTTTTGTCCAGTAAACTCGAAACATGAAATAATAACACAATTAGTAAGAATAATTGAATTATGTACGTAGGAATAGTTATTGAATAATAACACAAGAAACAGTTTTAGTGCAAAAGTATGAAGCTTGATGTACGTACATAACTTAATTATAAATAAGTGACAACTGCTAAGAACTTTTATGCATATGGTACTACTATACATTTATTAGGTAACAATATTGGTCATTAAACATATTCTCTAAATTGTTTTTTTAAAACCATTTATCTAAAAGAAAGGAAAAACGTGTATTTTAATCTAAGACCAACTTGTTAGAATACTACTGTTGTTTGTGTAGGAATGTTTTTCCCCTAATTTGTACGTATGAATAAGAAAATCATTGACTGACATGTGAATGTGAAAAATGAAATAAAAGGGACTACATTGAATGCGGCGTGCTTCGTGTTAAAATTTCATTCATGAGTATAGTTTTGTAGGGAGTTGAAAATATTTCATAAAAATGCAATACAATTCAAACGATTTGTTCGAATCAATATATAGTAAAATTTTTAAAAATTTAGAAGTACTTTAAAAGAAGAAGAAGTTGTGATTGCGTTTTAGAAGTACCTACAAAAGAATCTCCCTAAAGAGAGACCATGTTAGTGACTATTTTTAAAAGTTTAAATTATTAGTTGGAACAATTATAATTTTTTTTTGTGTTCTAATTACGTATTTGAATGACATTTTGATGTTTATTTCACATAGTGTTTATTTGTTGTCTAAGTTTAGAGTAATATGTTTCCTATAATATAACAATACCAACATTCAAGCCTTAGTCCCAAATAAAAATTGGGGTCGACTAATATGCAACACATAATAACGTACCCAAAAGGAAAAGAAAGATAAAAGGATAAGGTATGATAAAAAAAAAAGTGCCACAAATAGACAATATATTTGTATTTTTTTTATTTGGGCCAATTGAAAAGAAAAACACAGTCCGGGAACATCATTCAGACATGGCCAGGGTCGATCTCCGGATTTCGGTTCGGTTTTTCTCACCCATAGGTTACATTATCAATCACATTAGTTAGATGCACGTTCTACCGGAGAAGTACATAGTTAGGAACAAATTCGGAGGCATTTTGGCAAACGACATAGTTAGGAACAAGTTCGGAGGCATTTTGGCAAACAATATGGAGGCAATACTTATGGGCACTGTTTAAGAGCAATTTTGAAATGTACAAAGAATTGTAAACTTACGTGTACAGATCAATTATTTTGATTTGTTTTTGTTGTTTGTGAACAATTGTGAAATTAAATAAAAAGTTTACATGAAATTACATCCTTTCCTAAATTTTATGGTAACACTCTTTTTAAATGCATATGAGTTCTTTGGAATAATAAATTGAAGTGTGATTAAAAAGAAGAAAGTATGCAGCCATGTTATAGATGAATTGTAAAAAAAAAGTATTATAAAGAAATAAGTGCAGGCCGGGCATGAGATTTATATACTCCGTATTTGAACTTAGAAGAAGTTGCATTCTGAAACGAAAAGTGGCAATGATAGGTGATAAAATTGCCAACAATACTTGTTTATTTGGCGGAGTGCCGGAGAATCAGGATGAATTAAAGGCATCCTTCGAAAATGCATGTGAGACTCCGTAATTTTTTTGAAGCCTTTGTCATTCATGGCTTTTAGATAAGTGGAGACCCAATTTGAAGAGACGTGTAGTTTAGGAGGCCGTTTAGGTAAACGTTAATTTCGAATGTTTTTATTGACGGAAAAGGTAAGCAGTGGATGGAAAAAGGACCAAGCTAACCTATGTTGGCTTTTATTATTTAAGCGGGGATAGAATTGGATCGAGCCATCTACGTAGATGGGCCGATGGATCAGGCTGGTACATAGATGGGCCGATGATTTGTATAAAAATGTAAATGTAGGCATACACACATATATGTGTGTGTAGAGACCCAATAAATATTAACAGTAATAAATTATGAAAAATATTATAAAAAATCAATATATTTGTTTTTTTTACCCCGGAATGTAAACCACCCATATGGTGGGGCAAATGCCGAGGGACATTTACCTATGTTTTATTAATAGAGTATTGAGAACACCAAGAGAGGGGGACCAGACCAATACCTCTCAACAATAAAAAAACATGGCAACTGAAAACAGAAAACAGGCTGAGGGGGCTATACCTGACCTAGCCTAAACCAAACACTGCATAAATTAAAATCTGAGAGAAGGGATCCCCAAAAAATCCATCCAATAGGCCCTTTTAGCCTGAATTGGAAGAGCATTTGGACTAACAAACTTGCCCATCATTGGAGAAAGGCCCAATGCTAAAAAATGTGCAACCCAATAAAATCAATATATTTGTATTTAGTGAAAAAATAGAAACAATGACTGAAATAATTAAAAGTTGAAAAATGTCAGTCTTGTTATATAGTGACCGTGGTACATAGTAATTTTAGTGACTCTTATTATGTCCAAGTTTAAACATCGTAATCATGAAAGTATGGTCACGGTAAAAAAAACTCAAAAAGTAATATTTAAAAAATAAAATAGCCATCCTACGAGGTACACTATGTAAAATGATTTGTTAGTTTCAATATGTTTTAGTTTTCTTAAGTTAAATTTTATGGACTTAAAAAATAATTATTCGTACACATACACACAATAAGCTCACTCTATGTAGTTCAATAATATTTTTTCACTGTAAATACATATGTCTAATTAGTGTTGTATTTTTATTGGTGTGATTCTATTTTGATTTGTACCACCAATATGTTGTTTTGTTTTAACATTTCTGTCATTTTTTGTTATTGTGCCATTAAAAATAAAGAATTAGTAGTTCAATT